TCTAGAGGTCTTTTTCCATTCGTACCTAAGGCATTACATGACGCAAGTGCCCAACTACTTGACTCTACTTCCTTCTTCAATGGGCTCCACAGGTCCACTGTTTCCTAGTACACAGTATCGAATCCGTTTGTTTACGGTCACCAATTTCGAACTGTTTTTATTGCCCCAAATTAATTGCGGTTCCATTATTTCGCATTTTCGAAGGGGTAATTTTGATAAACTTTTCATCACTTAAGGTACTCGATCGTATAGCAGGAAATGGTCCTGAAAACTCACTTCTCGAAGTGCTTATAAAGGCAAAGGTTTCATTCGGCTTACTTAACTCACCAATCTCCCTACTTATCCTTAAATGGCATGCAAACGCTCTTTGCTCTGTCATGCACACGAAAGATTAGTTCATCCGCTTCTTTAGTGCACCAACCTTATAATTGTTTGCATTGTTTTCAAACTGTTCCTAGGTTTAAGCAATTGGGAAAGGTCAGGCACTTTATTGCGCTATGCGTTGTACTCAGTTTTGTGACTTGGTCGATAAACCACTCTAAGTGTTACATACTTTTAACAACTCAGTTTTGATGAAGATTCGAACGAGTGGATTCTTCCCGCTCTCACGGTAGAACGTACAGTTCTTCCGCCCTCGATGGACGTCGCTTCCGAGAATATTACCTTACCATTGGCTCGCGGAGCTCTTGGTCGTAGCGGGATCGGTACCTACGTTGCTACCTCACTTCCCGGTGCTGGACCTTACAAATCCGAGGCTGAGGAGCAGGAGGAGGCGCGTCTTTACGCCAAACTGACTAGCCGCTCCCAAAACCACATCAAATACTTCGCCAGCAAGCGGAAAGAGCAACTTCTGTTGGACGCTGGTAATACTTTCCTATCTTTATCACACTCATTTCATCGGGGACGGTTGTGGGGGATGTGTGGTGCAGGACCCCTGTGCAGCACTGCTTGGATGACCATTTTCTGTGCCAATTAAGTTTACTTAACTCCTGCAGCGTTGTGATTATGATCTCATCCTTACTCAACACTTGAATGCCATTATCTAAATGTTCCTCCCTTATGAGCTGAACTGAGCCTTTGCATTTTCCATCATTTTCCGATCTTGTATGGACATAACCTTTGAATTATGGTTTAGCATCGGTATATGTTCCAAATCTTCCGTAATTGATCAATTTTGACGGATTTTCTGGCGGTTTTTCGTCCCAAATCAAAAGTCATCTGATTATTTTTCCCCAAAAACGAGTCTCAACTTTGGAGTATGTTAGTGCGAGTACATTTTTTCGCATTTGAAAAGATTGCTTCAATTATCAGAGCTTTCTTTAAATTTTCTTAATGCATTTCGTCAACTTAAGCTTTCAATGCGCTTCTGTTCAGCATGCCCGTAACCTGCCAGATTAGCTGGTAGCAATCGCCAAGTAACCTTGTGGTTTCAACTCTTTTAGACTCGCCAAATTTTGTAGTCGTGGGGAAAAGACAATCACTTTCTTCTCCACCCCCTTCTTCACGCTGTGCTTCACGCTCTTCCTCTTCATCTCGCTTCCAGTCGGCTTCGAGTTCTAACAGTGAAAGAGGCAGTCCGTTTTTTGCACCCCTTCCGTTGTCTCCTGTTATTGTCTTGCCATATATTCATGTCTCAATTCATTTACATACATAGCCGAAATTGAGGCATTGCATACGAGCTCATTGATGCTACGTGTTCTGCATGACCCAACTTTCTCTCCTGGACCAATTCCCTTTCGGTGCAAATTTTCACTTTCCCATGGTGCTTTTTCGTTTGAAACGGCGGTCATATCTATGTAACTTCACGGTAAACCTGGGAGTCGTTGCATTCGAAGCCCTTCAAAATTAACTTCAACTTTCGCTTCTATCTCTGCAATTTTCGACCATAGCTATCCGTCTCACTACTGTTGTTTCTGCTAGTAGCTTAGTCGACATTCCAACAGGAATTGACAATGCCACCATCGGGGTAGCTGTAAGGTCGACAGCTAAGTATGAACGGTCTCAAGCACAGGTATTTCGAATTTAAATGAATACAGTCGAACTTACTCTCTATTCCCCGCTAAAATCATTAAGCTCACGGGGCACAAAGCCAAAAGTGGCCTGAAACATCTGACTAATTACATTCATCGAATTACGGGATATTTGGTGTTGTAGTGTCAACTTTCTTTGAATGTGTGCGCATTCTTAGATGCACAATGTATGATTTTTGATCACTGTTCCAGCTTCTCGTCATTATTTTAGCTTGCGTAGGTTCAAACAGGAAGGTCTTTCAACCAACAGACTCTCGATCCCAGCAGAATAAGGAGTCCTTTTTGAATAACTCCAATAACCATATCTCTTCAAACAGCACCAAGCGATCAGGCGTTGGAGGCAGGGGGAAATGAAGTGATTCCCTCCTATCAAGCAAAAACTTGGACCTGTAGGACCGCTTATAAAAATCGACTGCACCCATCTACAACTGTACTAAACTGCGTACAAATACTTCTGCAATTATTTTGACTGTACAGCTCAGCTCCCACTTTTCGTGATCAAAGAGGCATTGTTTTTGTTGTGACTTCTGCAATGTTTTCGATCAGCTTATTTGACTGTCTTACTTGAGCTGCATCCGAGTTTCGAAGTAGACCTTCGCACCACACATCCTGAGCCTGATGACAAACCTTTGTATGCAAAAAATGCTGTCGACACAAACTTCTGAGGAATTCAGTTGGATAATGTAACGTTTGACTTCCTCCATCCCATTACTCTTGCGGCAAAACCATGTATTTCAGGCAATCCGTCAGTGTTGACAATCTGTATACCTATCGCCCATGTTGTGCCCTTTTCAAGCTGGCGATAGCCTCGTCCGTCCCCGATTCGATACTCGTTACCAAGCCTCCCTCCTAACAAGCAAATAGAGTCGCTTTATTTTTACAAACACATGGCACTTGTAAATAAAGAATGCAAAGGTAATACATGTTTCAGGACATGCATAAGAGAACGGAAAAAAAGATGATAGAGGTTCGCTAAGTCACAGCCGCACTCTCGGAAAGGCAGAATAAGAACAAAAAACTAAACGAGGGGAGCTAGACGTTAGGAAGGGAGTCGGTCGACTGTTGGACAGACTTCGTCTCCATGTCGTCTGGGGGTTTCGAAGGTGTATGTAAGGGGACATCCAAGGGGTTTGAAGAGTGTGAACCACTGCCCTCCTCATCAAAGAGAGTTGGCCACTCCTCCAGTGGTTCTGGCTTCTTTCCAAGCCGTGCATTCAGGTCCTGTAGAGCCATCCGCCTGTAATGGATCACAATTGGCAGAGATTTGAGAAGAAAAGTACAATGTTCCACCTCATTATTCATAAAAGTTAAATACGACCACAAATAATTCTTTAAGTATAGAATTTGACGTCTGTTACGCGACTGCAATCTTTCCATTGCGTAGCTGGCAAATCGCTAAATGCCAGCTTTAACACGATGCAGAGGAACATGTGTATTAACATTAGTTTCAACCAAGGAAGTGATGAGGTAATTAAGTGAGTAAGGGCACAGTTAGAGGAACCTTATGATGACTGATAAATAGTTTCCAAAATGCGCTGAGGGTGAGAAGCATAGAGACTCATTTTGTATCGTCTACGCATATGAGCTTAACGAATTTCTACCCATTCCAGAAGGCC